ATATTCTGTTATTTGATTTGAGTTTTATTATATGATAGGCAACATAAGTACTATATGAAATTATTAGATTTAATACTCTTGTCATGTATTTTTTTGTAATTTATACTAGATATGACAGGAACATGTTGTTCAACCATATAAATATGGTTGAACAACATGTAAAAAAAAGGAAGGACATTAGCACAGGTGAGACAAGCCGAATCACTCCAGCAGGAATATGTAATCCACTGTAGGACTCTGAACACCAGCCAAAACCTGCATCACAAGCCGTGGAGGAAGAAAAACACTTGGCCAAGACCCCTGCTGTAAAGACAGGTTTTGGTAAGTGGGTCTGTAACAGAGTTTGGAAAGTATATCATGAAGGCTGGGTAACTTTATTTATGGATCATGGTTATGGAACTTTGTGTTATGTGAGATTAGTTGACGAACCTAGTAACTAGTTGCACTCCTCTGGGGCCATAACTGGAAAACAGTCTTTAAGACTAATGTGGTGGAGGACTTTTCGGTTTAGCAACAATGCTGGTGATATTTGTCAAAGACCTGCAGCAGTGTATCAGTCTGAACAAAGAACAGACTTTGACTTGGCCAATGATTTGGTCAATGATTAAAATAATAGTAATGATCATTGCTCTAGGTTGTCATTATGGCATTTTTCAAAAAATATACATATTTTATTTTCATACCAGAAGTAAGAGAGAAGACACATTTTTAAAAGGAAAAACACTGTTTTTTCCTTAAATATTGACCTATTTAATAAGTTGTTGTTTTGGAAAAAGGTTTGCCATGGTGCCCTGTGATGGACTGGCGACCTGTCCAGGGTGTACCCCGCCTCGGGCCCCTAGACAGCTGGAGATAGGCACCAGCACCCCGTCGCGACCCCGTTGGGTTAAGCAGGACAGAAAATGGATGGATGGATGGATGGTTTGCCATGGTAGTGTTTTCAGTCAGTTTCTTTTTCTTTTTGAGGAAACATGAAGCTTTTCTTACTGGGGCAACTTATGTTGGCAATGACCTGCACACTGTATTGCATGTTTTGCTTCTGATATCTTGTAGCCTTCTTCATGTTTTGAGGTCGGGTTTATATGTAATTCAACTCTTGATTCTAGAGCTATGACTATTAAAATAAAATATTACTTTATATAGAATTGGTTAGTCACAGTTAAATTGAACAGTGAACAATCTGTTTTTTAAATAAAGGAACAAGTCAATTTTAATAACTGGTTCTTTAAAACCCAATTTGAAAAATATTATATAATTATATAAATTACCGTATATATTTTTTTGTATAACATTATATTTTGCATACAAAGCTTTAAATTGTATTCATTGTGATATACTATACCCCTGCTGTGATGAACTTCATGTTCCATTTTTGATGTAGTGTAAATAACACTGCATCAAAAATGGACTACAATGACTTATGTTCTTTATCTATTCAGATGTTTATATGAAGCAACAACTAGAATTAAGCAGTTTTTCTGGATTTTGTTCATTTTATTTTGGTCTTTCGTCTTGCTGTGTCTTGCAAATGCACTGCATACTTAATATTCTTATTTTAACATAGTTTTAAAACAACTAAATATCCTGATCCTGATAAAAAAGAAGAAGCTACTACTCTGTGATTTGTTTTAGAAAACCTCTGACAAGGGCCTATAGTTATGCTCTATGTCCTTTTTGTATTTAAAACCAGGAAACTGCCGAAGAGACATTTGCTAAACGCAGGATATTGAGCAGCCTATGCAGCTGCTGAAGTGAAGATATAAAAAATTGGATGTTATTTACTCAGATGTGACAGGTGAGATCAGAAAAAAGCCAGCTAATGAAACAATCTATAAAGAAATAATTACGAGGCCCAGAACTCTCCCTTGAGGGACCCCACATGTTAGAAGAAAAGAATACAAGAAAAACATGTTGGTAATTTCTAATGGAGAATTTCCAACCAGATAGATAAGAAGAGAGGGAGTCCAATGCATAGCAAACACCACAAGTTTAAACCTACTCTTCAAAATGTTGAATCAAAAGTGGCTCTCACATCAAAAATCACGATGAAGTGATTTTGGAGGAAAATAAAACATTTATTTTCATCAACACTGGGTATTCTTTTAGCATTGATGGTGTGTTTAAAAGTACAATGTGTAATAATTACAGGAGTTTAGTGACATATTGTAATATATTATCTATATGTATGTTATTTATTATCACCTGTGAAATGAAGTCTCAATCTTTTTGTTTGCCTCACCTTAGAAACTGCTATTTAGAAAATACTATTTAAAAAAATATGTATGTAAACTAGACTTACACCAAACACGACCAGCAACAGCCTGGTTTCAAGCACCGGTTATTGGGTTTTTGATTTTTTTTTTTTTTTTTTCTGAGCGGAGTAGCATCTTTTTCCTCCTCTCGATCCATGTTTGTTTTTGTAAGAGTGTCCAAAACAGGGGGACTAATCACCTGGTCAAAAGAGTTAAAGTGATACATGCAGTGGGGAATCAGTGGAGAACATTGGGAAAGAGATCTCCATAAACGGGATGAGCCGGCCAGCTTTGCCCCCCTCCTTGGCTAAGGAACCGCAGAGATGGCACCTTGTGTGCTCCAATGTGCTCCGTAGCTCTCTCGCAGGAAGAGAGCTGAGGAGCACATTGGTAGCTCAGAGAGGCCTAGGAGAGGCTCAGAGGAAGCTACAGCAGGCCAGGGCTAGCAAGAGGCTAACAATTGAAGCAGAACGGCAGAAGATTGGATTAGTCCTGTTTTATTAATGCAGTGCACTCCATTTAAAAAAGAAAAAAAAGCAGAATCCTGATTCAACCAAAAACAGAAACATGACCAGGCCTCGGAGAAACAAAACAACAAACAAAAAAAAACAAAAACAGGCCAACATAAAACAAACCAACACACTACGCCAACCGTTTTAGAATAAAATTTTGATAATTTAGATATGTGATATTTTTAAAGCCAGAAGTAATGGATTGCACATCTTCAAAATAAAAATAATGTTGGTTTCATCAGTCTATAAAATTAAGTTGTCAAATTTGTAATTGATATCTATGTTTCTCAGCTGGGAGCTGTTTAATCGTTGCCATTTCTACTGTCTTATTGTTGAATTTTCCACACTGACCTGAGTCAAGTATCAAATGTTTTGGAAGGAATGAGTTATCTAGTGTCCTATATGAGGAGTAGTTGATTATCTCTTGGCTGGCCACTATGGGGCATGTTAAAGCCGACCAAATGGTGTGAGGCATTGGAGATAGAGGCTGGGATTACCCTTAATAACTGTTGGGATCCAGAGGCTTGCCCTCCAGAGGGCGCCGAGGATCCCTT